GTTACACAAAAAAACATAACAAAAATTTATGCAAAAAAAACATAACAAAAATTCATGCAAAAAAGCTTACGTAAAAATTTATGCAAAAAGTATACGTAAAAATTTATGCAAAAAAGTATATGTAAAAATTTATGCAAAAAAACATAATACGTCAGTTAATCACTGTATTAATAAGTTAATTAATCATTGTTTTAATCATTAATTTATCAATATTTAAGAATTCAATTTTTTTCGTTCTTATTCCTTCTTACTCTTTCTTATTCGTATTCTTCCTTACTCTTATTTTATCATAACCATGCCTCGCGACACTCAATTAAGTGACTTTGAAAAAGGACAAATTGTTGGAATGCATAAGCTTGGAGCTACAATGACGTTTATTGCTACAGTATTAAATCGTGATCGTTCTGCAGTATCTCGATTTTTAACTCGATATAGAGAAGGAAATGTTGAAACTGTCATACGTTCAGGAAGACCATTAATGATGACTAATATGGATAAGCAAAATCTTATTGATGCAACAATCCATTACAATGATCTGCCGCTTAAAGAAATTTTAGCTAATCATGATATTAATATCTCACCGTCTTTGGCAAGAAAAATCTTGCACAAGAATGGAATCTGGGGACGTATAGCCACTAAGAAACCAGGTTTGAGTCCAAATCAAGCTGAAGCACGACTTGCCTGGTGTAATGCTCATGTTAATTGGAGTACAAATGATTGGCAGAAGGTTATTTTTAGTGATGAATCATCTGTTGAGATCGGTGGTTGTTCACGAAAAATGATTGTATGGAGAATGAAAGGTGATCGATACAAGTCACATTTTACAGTACCAACATTTAGAAGTGGAAGAAGAAGTATCATGGTATGGGGATATTTTGCAGGTGATAAAAAAGGACCATTGGTTTTTATGAAGGAAAGAAATGGCGCGGGAGCAATTAATGCTCAAAGATATGTTGAGGTATTAAAAGATCATCTGGTACCTTTTCGCCATGAATTAATGGCAATGTTTGGAGATGATATCATCTATCAAGATGACAACGCACCTATTCACAGAGCACGATATACTCGAGAATGGATGAATAATGAAAATATTAACCGTCTTCCCTGGCCAGCACAATCACCTGATTTGAACCCCATTGAGAATCTATGGAAAATATTAAAGGATAACGTTCAACAGTGAAGACCATCTCCAAGAACTTATGAAACCTTAAAAACGGCACTTCTGGAAGAATGGGAAAATCTAGATTCATCCATCTTGATTAATTTAATTAATAGTATGCCAAATCGTATTAATGAAGTTATTCAAAATAACGGTTATGGTTGTAAATACTGATATTTAATATATATCAACATATGCTGTATAATTATTATATATTAATATTGTAATCACATATTAATTTGCGCAATATATTAACATCGTTGATTTGCATAAATTTTTGTTATGTTTTTTTTTTGTTATGTTTTTTTGTGTAACCGTGTTATACTTTGTGAGGCTACTGTAC